AAAAACTCAGGCTGCGTGTTACTGAAAAAGAACGTAATGTGAAGAAAGTTTCAGCAAATAAGAAGAAAGTAATCAAAATAGAAGTGATTAGGGTGCTTTAGCATCACTGGAATCAGGAGATGTTCGATCTCGAACACCATTGTCATTAAATCGGTTCCATGAACGGTAAAGTAGAATTATGAAGAGACAAATAACAGCCAAAATGCCAAAGGCCAAGCTGATGCGGAGGATTATAGCCCCAATCAGTAGAGTAGAAGAACCTGGAAAAACAAAAGTAGTGAAAGGCAAGAGTAAAAGAATGACAATAAAAACGCATAACGTAAAATTAAAAAAAGAAAATTGAGAGATTAATTAATGGGAGGAAATAGAGCGTAAAACAAGAGAGAAGAACGTACCCAAACTGGAAATAGAAGTAGGTAATGGAGTAGGAGGGGGAGGGGGAGGCGTTTCATTTCTTTTGGTGATAGGCGTGGCAATGGTGGTAGTGGTTGTAGTACTGGAAGAGGCGGTCTTGCCTTTAAAAAATTCCTTCCACTCTCTGGGGCGAATAAAAGCCTCAGTGTTACTAAATATGATGATGGCAAGCAAAATTGCCACCAGGTATTGTGGATTCCTCATTCGTAGTGATGTGAGAGACACTTTGTCATCCTATGTTTTCGTGTAGTCTGGGATGTGCAGCTTATTGGTGGTTTGGACTGATTTGAAGTGCTCTTGAATGGCTCACCCACAGACGACGAGCCAATCATCAGAGCGCTCATTTATCAACGACCTTCATTTTCAAACACTTAGTCGTGGGGTGACCGCAAATCCAAACAACCGGGTTCATTGGTGATGCAGTCGCATCCCGTCTACACCGCCTCCACTTGCCATGCTGCTCTGCAGTTTACGAGCCTGCGTTTCAAACCACTTCCAATTTCCCCCAAATAAGTATGTCAACATCCTCAACTCGTCCCAATCAGACGCAGTGTCTACCACCTTCCAACTGCCCTCCTCACACTCCACCATTTGTGTGAGTCGTTGAGAGCCCAAAGCGTGAGGTCAATGATGGGCAAACGCGGCGCACGAATGAAAGGAACACTTGAGGGAGGAGCATCTCAATTGCATGGAGTCGAGTGTCTGAATTGTGTAGGTGGCTCAATCGCATCACATCGTGATAAGGGGGGCTGACACACGGCTGCCACAGGGGAGGGCAGTGAAATCTTATGCATCAAGGGTAAAGCGGGTGATGGTGGCCTCCACGAGGAGGCAAGGGTAAAGCCAATGAGGATTGTCACATGTCTACTGCCAGTGCCTGACAGACGCCCGCTTTTGATGAGGGTCGCACTGTGTTGCAACATACTCCCAAGTTAAAATATTTCTACAAAGCCCTACCAGCTCGCCCTAACATAGTCGCTAGCGCCTCGACTGGCTCATCAATGGAGACTCACCTCGTGATGAGGTGGAAAAAGTGACTCAGGAATATGAAGCCAAAGTGGAGAACATGAAAAAGGCTGTTAGGTTGATTAAAGATTGGCCTTGATAAGCGTGAATGAGTTGCCGGCCCATCACCTCGCATTGTCGATGACACTTGCAAATTTCTTATATGTTGGAATTAATATCATTAAATTCCTTTTATCAAAATAATGCAATTAGAAGATACTCAGTATTTGCTGAGCGGTAATACAGGGATCAACTGGAACACGAATTGTAAAGGAGGTTGAATGGCAAGTTGATGCATTGCTGTTGAGGGAATATTCTCTTCAGCTGCAAAATAGCATTGGCAAGTGGAGGCGGTGTAGGAGAGATGGGACTTCACATTCAATGAACTCAATTGTGGGAATGGCGGTCACCTCATAACTGAGTGTTTGTAAATGGAGGTCGTCGGTGAAGGAGCGCTTTGGTGATTGGCTCGTGGTGTATGGGTATGTCATTCAAAAGCACCTCAGATCAATTCGCCAATCAGCCGCACATCCCAGACTACATGAGGAGGTAGGATGACAAAGTGTCTCTCACATCACTGCGAATATGAGGAATTTACAAAACCTGGTCGCAATTCTCTTTGCTATTACCATATTTGGTAAGATTGATTAATAAAATGGCAATTTTTTGGATAAAAACAAGTAAGTTGAAAAATTTGATTACAATTTTGCATAACGTGATGATAAATTGAGATATAGTATTTTTAGCAGCCTCTTAAAACCCAACTGCTTGTAGAAACCTTTCAAAACGAATGCAGGGCATGCGGTGCATGTCAAGGATTGAACACCAACTCCACTTCTTCCGCTGTCGCTTTTACTGCTGTCAATACTACCGCCACTGCCACTACCGCAACTACTGCGGCTGCTGCCACTCACACTGAGACTTCCACCCCTACTACTGTTATTCGCCCCAGCGAGAGGAGTAACCTTTCTGGAAGGGAGACCTCCTCTTCCAGTACTACCACCACCACCGCCACCGCCACGCCTACTACCATTACAACTAAAACGCCTCCCCCTCCTCCTTCTCCATCGTCAGCTCCCGTTTCCAATTCGGGTACTTTTGGCCCTCCCTTGTTTTTATGCCTCATATCCTCCCCCTTAAATATTCTCTACATTTTTTTCCTTCATTTTCTCGTTTTGTGGGTTTCCTTATATATTTTAATGTTTTTTTTTACTCTTGCCTTTCCCTTTTACACATTTACATTGCATGTTCATTTGTTTTGCTATATTTTTATTTTTCCAGGTTCCTCTCCTCTGCTAAGTGTGGCCATTATTCTCGGCATCGCCTTGGTCTCTGCCATTTTGGCTATTATCTCTCTCCTTGTGACACTGCTTCGCCGTTCGCGTGACCGCTTTTATGGCGATGGTGCTCGAGGTTTACACTTTCCGCTTTTCCAAAATGTTTAAGCACCCTATCAATTCTATTTTGGCTATTTTCTTTTTCAATGTTAAACAATTTTCTCAAATTCTTTTTTGATACACAGCCTTAGTTTTTT